AAATAGAAGGCGTCTTAGATGAGCAAGTGAAGCTCCCATGTTCGAGAGTTAAACCAAGAAAAGTGGAAAAGGATACAATATCCCAGCAGAATTAGCCTTCGGATGATTCCATAAGTAGGCAGGAACAATGCATGAGTATATGCACAACGTGGAGTGAACATGCCAACTCGGGCTTCAAAGTTACAATAAGTTAAATAGTATAAAATGGAGAATCTGTTAGTTAATATGAAGCTCTTGCATATGCTTAAAACAGACTAAAGGAATCGAAGATATGAATACCAAGATGGTGTGACCCTCGGTATGACCGCAGATTCTTTCGATGTATAGAAGTGAGTTAACCTCGTTTTCGCAACTTGGTCTTGTTGTCAGAGCAATTTAGTTGGACGCACCTTGTCCGAAGTCCTCTGCCATATTAGTTATCATAATTCCCAGCGTCAGACAATGGACTTGGTAGTTTCTTCCGAAACGGTTTGGTTAGGGGTTTGACTTCATTTGTGTATTTGATGAGTTGTAGCTTGGCGCTGAGAATGGCAAGACTCACTGATGATGCCGGCGGAACGTCTGAGAGTCCACTGTATGACGCTGTAAATTATGATAGCTACTATGGCAGAGGACTTCGGACAAGATGTGTCCAACTAAGTCGCCCTGACAAATGGATCAAGTTTCGAAAACGATGTAAGTCCACTTCTAGACTAGAGGAAGTTTATGACGGAATGAAGGCATATATGATCCAGACTAACCAACTGGGTGGGGTCGCTGAGGAACTAGTAGAGCTGCCAATCCGAGAGAGAGTGGATGCGGAATCAGCTCCGCTCATTACCCTGCCCCCGCGGTTACTAGCGTTGAATAGACGGACAAGCTGCTGATCTGAAAAACCTGTCGAGGTATTTGCCATGATTGGAATAGAGCTGCGGCAGCCACGCTTCCTCCACATGACCTCTGAAGGTGAGGCATAGCTGCCTTGGCGAAATGAGAGATTCTGAGAACGCATAGGTAACTGATCAATGGCAATAGCTGCAGACAGTGATGATGTTGTCTTCGTTCCCGGCACTTCGACATTCGGCCAGCAAGATGGCTCCACTCGAACTGGGAGGCATCTGGCATCAAGAAAGAGCTTGGAGCTGGAAGTAATGGTATCAACAGCGACGGAGGCGACGGAATTGCCAGTGGTGCTGGAAAGAGTCGAGATAGCATGATTAAATGTCGAAGAAGCACTCAGTGGAGTCATGTTGTATGGTCGATGAGCCGAAGGCGACAAGGTGGACTGATATCGGAGCTGTTTAGGTCTGTGAAAAGGGTGGCTAATGAGGCGTCCATCAGAACGAACGTGGCGAAAGTGGCCACAGGGTTCAGGAGAGATTGACTCTCGGAAGTCGTGGCGAAGGCAATAGGGCCTATCACGAATTGCACAGCGAGATACAGATGAAGAAACTGATATGGGAAGAATGAAAAAAATACAATCATTAGTTTTGAAGATTAATTGAATTAAGTCTTTCAATCACAGAATGTGATGTGGGAAAATACGTGGCCACCATCGAAATTCACATCTGCTCTGTAAGGGCACTTGTGATAGTGTGACGTAGTCGTTAACGTGTCAAGATTGTACGATGCACTATCACGATTCGAGTAC